GATGACAAACTCAGTAAGTCCTTTTCGTGGGTTGTAGCTCAGCTCACTCAGTCTGTTATCAGTCCCTCCGGTGCTGGAAATGCTGTAGCCCAGGCCCAGCCTGGTGGGCCACAGGTGTGAGCTGCTGGTGCTCTTCTGGGTTTTCAGTCCAGACCAGGTTTAAACAGTTCCAAGAAAAAAAAAAAACACAGTCCAGGGAACTTCTCTGCCTCAGCTAGCTAAAAACTAGCTAAAAAAACAAACAAAGGAGAGCTCTGTCCTGCTGTATGTCAGTGCTGCAGACAACACTGTCCACAAGAAGGATGCGGGGGAGCAAGCGTAGTTTTGGATTACAAACTCCATGCTTCTTCTCTCCCCCCTTTGCTCTCGGAACCAATCTTAAAGGTGCAAAACTTATTTCTGGGCTAAACAGATGAATGGGGATACAATTCAGCATCATAAAGTCACTCCAGGACACTAATCAATGCTGAATATGCTTAAATGAAGCTAAAAAATTAGGAGCTGTTTGTCTGAACAGATTCAATTCTTCAGAAGAGGAAGAAGCTGGGAGAAGCTTGGGGAATTTAGCAAGGGATAATATTGAAAGGGAAATGTACCATAAAAGAGAATTTATTTCTGATGGATAGACAACATTTGACCATGTTTTCAATAAACATATTTTACAAGTATCTTCTAATGCTGATCAAGTAAAAATTCTTCAAACAGTGTGACTTTGCACATTTTGTACTAAGAAAAAAGATCCAGTGCCAAAAGTAATAAAGTAAGGTGCTTCAAATATTCAGTGTAATTCAGTAAAGAACCTCAAAAATTTGCCCATCTTAAAGGTCAGTGAGTACAAGAAAGTTAATACAGTGGTCACATGCTTAAACTACATACAGTTAGAGTTCTCATGGGCCCAAGGAACAAGGATTGTTTCCTTTCCATGCTGTCTTGGTTTGAAAGACAGGTGTCTGCTAAGAAAGGCGGGAACTTCCCTTGGAACAGAGAATATGACCCCCCTCCCTCCAAGTTATTATTATAACTTCAAAATTAGGGGATTTTCAGGCAAAAATACGGGAAAAGGAATAACAGTTCTTTGCTAGCATCTATAATAGGGCAAAAAACCAGCAGCAACTATGGCAGCAACAAAAAACAGAACCAGAAACCCAGTTACAGCCTTCTCAGCTGCAGGCACTTGCCTCTTTGGTGTAATTACAGTTGCAGCTGGCAGGGGTGCTGGCAGGGCAGGTGTGATGATTCCCTCATGGCTGCAGAGGGCGCTGTGGCACTAGTCGGCCATCTTTTCTCCACATGGACAATGGTGGATGCAGCCAGCAGAAAGGGATGGAGAAGGGGCTTCTTCTATCAACGCCCAGGGACAGCTGATCCCAGTGGCCCCTCTGGATAGCAAAAGGAGCTGTAGCAGGGATCTCAGACTAGAAAGCTGGGAAGGCAGGGATGAGCAAAGTCCCGGAGTGGTAGATGGGATGTATCAGAAACTCAGCAGCTGTAGCTGGAACTGTAGGGTGTCTGAGCAGGCAGGGAGTGCGAATTACAGTGCAGCAAAGAAACCTCAGATCAGTGGCAGAGAAAATGGCAGGGGCTGGGCAGTGGCCACCTGGCTCCTGAACACAGCCTGGAGAGAGAGGCTCCCTTGGAGGGGGAGGGGGCTCGGGGATCCCAGGGTTTTTCCCTCAAGGCACCTGAGCAGATGGTGTTAACCCTTTTTTTTAGTGAGGTAGGGTGTTAATAAAGTCCCAGTTCAGTGGTTGCTCTTGTAGTATATGGTAGAGATAATTCACGCTATTAATGTATAAAATATTGTAAAATCTAAGCTATGTCTTTTGACCACCCCAGCCGGGAGCAGAGTCTTATTTTTATTCAATTAGTTCCTGGACAACATTAAGATAATATCGAGTCTGTTAACGTATGAATGGAACCTTCCTGAAGCGATGATCACCGACTTCCCTGGAATGCATGAGTGATCTCGCACCTCGAAGATTGCATCTACTACACTGATTACCTGGCGCCACCCTTTACATGTGAATGCTGACTTCTCCGGAGTGCTCTGACGACATCTAGACACCTGGAACTGGACTTTTGTCTAACCCTGCACATGTCTGGCCCCAGTTCTGCATGTGAAGGGACACAAAGGAACATTCGGTCATCTCTGCCTCAGGCAGAATAAACTGTATAAAAGCTCGATGCGCGAAGCAGCCGGCATGAACGGAGGGGGAGACTGACATTTTGGTGGTCAGATCCAGGTTCACCCAGCACCGATCCCGGGGTTGACGCTGCCCTTGGCTGTGGTGGTTTTTTTTTTTTTTTCTGATTGAAATTCTGTTTTGCTGACAATCTAATAAATCATTGCTAAATTTTCTTATAAATTTGGCTCCTGATTTGATCATTTATAACACTCTCATGAGCAAAAGCTCACCCCATTGCAGAAGAAGGACCTGGCTGGGCTCCTGCGGTGGTAGCGAATTCCCCCCAGGCAGCAGCTCCAACTGTCCTCCTCCAAAGTCGAGAGCAAGAGAGAGGTGAGACCTGCACCCAACCCCTTTTCCCCAGCCCAATTCTCGGGGTATTCTGCCCCTCCACGAGAAACCTCCCAGATAAGAGGGCAGCCAGATGCACCCTTCCAGGGGAAACTTCTTGTGTCTGTCTTAAGTACTCAGTCATTATTGTCTCTTAGCAACAAGAAATGGGAGAAAATTCTCAAAGAGAAAGAAACAAAAGGAGAACTCAAACCCCAACACATGCACTGCAAGCACTAATTGCAACACTGTGTACACCAGCATTAAACTTGTGACTTTCAGAATACACCTGAGTCTCTCAGCCCCAACCAACATCTCACGAGCATTGCAAAATGCAGTTCCTTCAGCAGATTAGAACTAGTGCTACTGGCTTCTCAGCAGCAAATGCTGCCACAGCACCCTGGCCAGAGCCACTGCCAACTGATTGTGTGCAGCATGAACACATCAAGAGAACAAACAGGAACAGAGAACAAATGCAGAAGATTTTACAAGGTACTTCAGCTCACCATTAAAACATTTTGGGTAATAACTTGGCACCTACCTTAGGTTACTACTCAGAATCCCTATCCCCATTGTCTTGGTTTGAAAGATAGGTGTCTGCCAAGGAAGGTGGGAACCTCCCTTGGAATGAAAAATATGCACCCCTTTTTCCAAATTATTCTAACTTTGAAATTAAGGGGCTTTCCAGCAAAGATATGGGGAAAAGAATAACAGTTCTTTGCTAGTAGGTATATGTATAACAAGGCAAACAAACAACAACAATGGCAGTGTGAAAAATGCATATTATATGACTGGGTCTTCACAAATATTAAAATGAATACTATATGTGTTATGTTGGAAAGTTATGCTGTAGTGCTATATTAATCTTTTTAAGTAGTGTGGTAAATATAGTTTTAGGCTATAACATAATATTAAAATAGGTACTATGTGATGTAAGATACTTTTTCTAACTAGCTCAAGGAATGAATAATTAAGAGATTCTTCGCATACAGAGAACAGCAACAAGACACCAAATCTCAAGAGAAGAATTATTGCCTCCCTATCAGGAAAAACCAGACTTCTTCCAGACTTCGAGGAGCCACAGGAATTGATTTACAAGATGAGGAGGGGAAGGTGACAATAACCAGAAAACACCCCTATTTTTGAAAGGAATGTTTGAATCATGTATGAGATATATAATTATGCAGCAGGCTATTGCTTTTAAGGGTTAATCCTTTGTTAGCAAGGTGTGCTTTTGTGGCAGAGTGCAAAAAGCACCTGGATGTCCGTAATTCTTTGCTTTTTATTGTCTTTTATTGTCCTAACTTTGATTGTCCAAATTCTTATTTTCCAAATTTTTATTACTATTTTATTACTATTAAACGTCTAAAATTTTGATACAAGTGATTGGCATTTTCCACAGGCAGCAACAACAAACAAGAACAGAAACCCAAACATAGCCTTCTCTCAGCTGTCAAGCACTTTCCCCTTTGGTGTAGTTATGGTCACAGCCGGCAGGGGCACTGTTGACTCCCAGGCAAGCAGGTGTGATAATTCTCCCGCAGCTGCAGGGGGCGCTGTGGTTGCTTCTTTATGTGGGTAATGGTGGGCACAGCCAGAGTAAGATACTGAAAAGGGGCTTCCTTTACAACCTCACAGGGGCAGCCGGTCCAGGTGCCCCTCCAAATAGCGAAATTAGCTGTAGCATTAACCTTGGAAGCAGTAAGCTAGAATGGCAGAGGCAAGCAGACCCCGGGGTGGCAAACAAAATGTAACAGAAACTCTGCAGCTGTAGCAGGAGCCACAGGGTGTCCCAGCAGGCAGGAGGTGAGGAGTTACAGTGTAGCAAAAAACTCAGAGCAGTGGCAGAGAAAGGGTGGGGCTGGGGCAGCAGCAGCCAGGCTCCCAAACATGGTCGGGAGAAGTTCCCTTGGAGGGGGGAGGAGCACTGGGTTTTCCCCTGAGGCACCTGAGTAGATGGTGAGGGTCCTTTCCAGTGAGGTAGGGTGTTAATAAGGTCCCAGTCCAATGGCTGCTCTTATGAGCAGAGCTTCATTCATGGTAGAAGACAGCAGGAAATGGAACCCCGCAGTGGTGGCAAATTCTTCCCACAGCGACTGCAGCCTGTCTCCCCTTCCATCCCAAGAGCGAGAGACAAGCCGAGCCCATCCCCTCACCCCCCAGCCAAAATCTCTGCCCTTCCCAAGAGAAAGCTCCCCAGCTAAGATAGTGCCTCCAGCTGCACCCGCACCCCTACCCCTACCCCCCGCCCCCGGCTACATCCATTTAGTCTCTCTTAAGTACCGGTCGTTATTGTCTCTTAGCAACAAATGGGACAAAATTCCAAACAGCGAGAAAAAAAAAAAAAAAAAAAGAAAAAATCCTAACTTTCAACACCCATATAAAGAAAAAAAAGTGTATTTCTTACAATCACCCTTTATTTATAGCTACTGTATTGCCTGAAGCATGACACGAAAGGAAATGTGACCAGTTTCCTCCACTTACCTTTCTTGTCAATAGACTTTTACGCCTCATTCCGCAAGCCTCTAACTGAAGACGCCCTCGCAATGCCAATTCAATTAACATACAGCCACGCAATCCCGAAGAGATGCAATCATTCCAAAAGGATGTGTAACCCTGTGAAGAATGAAAGGCAGTAAGATATTTCCATTTCCACCTGAAAGCAAATAGAAAATGAGGCTTACTGCATTCTCTAAATAGTTCTCTGGCCTTCATACACTATCATCACTAGACAACTACCATTCTTGTACTGAAACATGAAAGAGAAAACAGACTCACCCACTATTAGTTTTGACACTTGGTCTCTGCTCTTTAAAAGAAGGGAAACTTCAGGAAAGAGATGCAAAACAAACCAGCAAGATATCAATAACTGGGACATATAAAGTGTAGTTTATACATAGTCAGAAGACCTCCATGGTCTGCAGGGGCACGGCTGCTTCACCATGGTCTTTAGCACAGGCTGCAAGGCAATCTGCTCCAGCACCTGGAGCACCTCCTCCCCTTCCTTCACTGACCTTGCTGTCTGCAGAGTTGTTTCTCACATACTCTCACTCCTCTCTGGCTGCAATTGCTCTCATGAAGTTTCCTCCCTCCTTCTTAAATATGTTATCACAAAAGTGTTACCACCATTTCTAATTGGCTCAGCCTTGGCCAGCAGCGAGTCTGTCCTGGAGCCAGCTGACATTGGCTCTGCTGGACATGGAGGAAGCTCTCAGCACTTCTCACAGAAGCCATCCCTGTAGCCCCCTGCTGCCAAAACCTTGCCACACAAACCAAATACAGTTGTTCTAATATGGACTGCCAAACTTCAAGCTACATTTGTTCTTTGAACCACACTACTACACTTTTTCAACTATATTTTTATATACAGTTTTGCCATAATGGGCAAAAAGTCCTTCATAACAATGCTTAAGCCATTAACCGTAACATTACAGTCTCTCAAAAGAGTAGCAACAGTTAAATATTAAAAAACATGCAAGAACAGTATCTAAGACAAAACAAAATATTGATAAGAAATTATTTGGTTTTTGAGAAATGACTGTGAAAACACTTCTTACTGTTATAGATGAGTAAATGGTTGGCTCTCACAATTAAGGGGTAAACTTTATATGTATGGTAAAAGAAGTTTTATAAATGTATAGTTATGTTACTGCAATGTGCTCCCCCCAGTATGTGTTATCATGGGATGGTCTTGGTAATCCGGGGATTTGGGAAGGTTGGCTTGTTACTATGGCAACACCTGACCTCCAATCAGTATGTAAGAAAGTGACTTCTACCACTGGACAGCAAGGTTGACTGACAAGGCTAAAGGAGGGGCTAGAGATTTAAAAGGCAAAGCATCCATCTTGAAGTTGAGCCAGCCATGTGGTGGGCAGTCACAAGGGCAGTTCTCAGGCCTGCTTTTCCTTATTTAGTCCTTTTGTTGTATTTTTGTTAAGGTTTAATAAACCCATTAAATTTTTTAAATGAGCAGTCGTTTCTCACATTACAATCCAGAAAGACTTTGTTATAAATAACTATGAAGTTGGTGGCTTTCGCAAATTATTATTAATCACAACAATTTTGATATAGTACAGTTGGTAATCACTTTTAACTGCTTTTGATATAGTATAATCTGTCAGCTTTTTGTGGCCAATGCCCTGGCCCCTGTGTAGCTCATATCCTTAGAACATCATTTATGGATGATATTTTAGTTTGTAGACAGTGTGATAAACATATATTATAGTTTTAGCTTTCCCAAATATTAAAGTGGATGCTATGTATTGTGCATTATAATGTTAACTTTTGCAGAAGTAGCTGTAGTTGTGAAATAATAACTAATGCTTTTATTTTTGTAACTAACTGACTAATGAAAATAACTCAGACATTTGTGAAATAGCTGATGTTGATTTAAAGTACTTGTGGTAAACTTAGAATAATGAAAATAGCTAAAACCATCTGCATGGTCAGATAACATTTAAGGAATGGATGTGATGAGGACCCCTGCTACTGACCCTTCGACTATCAATAATTGTTGTCTGCTGAAACCACAGAACAGGGGGCCTTTGTGAGGAAGTGACACATGACCTGCAAAACCACATCCATGATTACTGCACGTGCTCTAAAAAGGCGGGTCAGCGGTCGAACCAAGCTAAAGAATTCCTGGAACATGTAAACGAGTTCAAAGAAATGTTTAAATATGTATACACTTTATGAATATGTATTTAACCAATGCAATAGAAAAAATATATAAGAAGAGTTGCTATGGTTAGCTGATGTGCCTCTGGCCATCGCCAAGCACCCAGCACTGTTATTTTGTCCCATATTATCCCTTATTAAACTTTTAAAAATATTCAAGAGTGAGGTTTGTTTCTCACACTTTCCAAAACTCCCATGTTGTTGCATCTCTGTGAAAGCATCCACTTTGTGCATCTTTGGAGAAAAATTCAGTAAAAAAAAAGACTCCTTTTCATAAAAATTATCCTAACCAGTAGCAAAGACTCACTTAAATAAAGGGCAATACAATGTTATTCTCTTTGCAAATAAAAGCTGCCAATGTATAGAGATATCAGATGCATACATCTGAAGTCTGTTAAACACAAACCAGTCACTAATTCACAGAATTCACAGAATGACAAGGTTGGAAGAGACCTTAAAGATCATGGAGTCCAACCCATGCCCTAACACCTCAACTAAACAATGGCACTGAGTGCCACATCCAGTCTTTTCTTAAACACATCCAGGGATGGTGACTCCACCACCTCCCTGGGCAGACCATTCCAGAACTTTATCACCTCTTCTGTAAAAAACTTCTTCCTAATATCCAACCTATATTTCCCTTGATGCAGCTTGAGACTGTGTCCTCTGGTTCTGTCAGTTGCTGCCTGGAGAAAGATACTGTCACTATAGGACACATAAGAACACAAGCGCACACTGCTGCTCTCCAGGTGAAGAAAAAAGGGAAGTTCATTTTCTGACTCCGACATTTATAGTTTTCCAAAAGTGAAAGTGGATTGGAGGGTGATAGTGCCACCTCTCCAATGACACTGGACAAACCAACAATCCATTAAATTTCTCCTCCTCCATAAAAGAATGCAAAACAATGAGTTATTTACAGAAAGTGTGTGAGAAAGTTTGTTACAAGAATGTCAACATCAGAAGGCTTGGAAAATCTTAAAAATCAGGGCGACATCTCACCCTTTTCCATTTAAAAAAATAAAAAAAGAAAAGAAAATGAACAATGTGAAAAAGAAAACATGAACAATGTTCAGTGTCCATTTGCGGAGGAATTATCGGTGATCACTCATGTTGTCTGCATCCCAGTCATCACGCAATGATTCACCCGCGTGATGCCTTTCAGTTTGGTCACGGTTTCCATCTTGCCTGTCGGCCGGATTCTGTCTCTGCGGTCGCAGGTCAGGGCAAACACACTTCGAAGGTACCCAGCGTACCCCAGTATCTGTGGATACACAAGCATACCCGCGCCCCGAAGCAATAAGGTCATAGGGACCTTCCCACTGTTTGGTGACTAAATTCCGCACCCAAATCTTCGCTCAAGGCTGATGTGCCTCGTCCACAGCCTGCAACGAGAGATGATGATTCAAAATGACAGGATTATTTGACTTCTGCGGCACAGTGAGATGATTGATTGTGCACAAAGCTTTTGCCAACCAACTGTGCAGGGTTTCACCCTGCATTCCCCATTTTTGTTTTTGAAGAATCTGCTTCAGAGTACCATGAGCGCGTTCTACAATAGCTTGACCAGTCGGAGAATGAGGGATACCAAACTTGTGTGAGACACCCCACAACTGCAGGAGCTGCCGCACCTTCTGCAATGCGTAAGCAGGACCATTGTCGGTTTTCACAGCAGAAGGTATGCCCAGAACAGCAAAGGCCTGCCTCCAGTGGGCGAGGACATCACAGGCCTTCTCCCCAGTGTGAGCAGAAGCCCACATCGCAGAGGAGAACGTGTCCACTGTGACATGCACATACTTGAGCCGGCCAAACTTGGCAATCTGGGTGACATCGGTCCGCCAAAGCTCCAAGGCCCTAAGGCCTCTGGGGTTTACCCCTGCCGGCAAAGGCGGAGCAAGTGCGTGGCAGTTGTCACACGACTTAACAATGTCATGAGCCTCAGTTGGTGTCAGCTGAAACTGCTTCTGCAGGGTATGTGCGTTTTGGTGGAAAAACCCATGTGATGCCTTGGCCTGTGCGAGTGTATCAGGCTGAGGCGCTACCCACGCTGGGTTAGCCAGCTTGTCAGCCCTCGCGTTACCTTCCACTATAAAGCCTGGCAAATTGGTGTGACTCCTCACATGCAGAACATAGAATGGATGAACCCGGGCCTGAATGGCACACCACAAGGTCTTCAGCAAATGAAACAAGGCAGGATTACCGACCTCCTTCAAAACCAAATGACCCAACCGCTGTGCGATATTAGCCACATAGGCGGAATCTGTGACCAAGTTGAAAGGTTCCTGGGAAAATCTCTCAAATGCCATGACAGCAGCCCTCAATTCAACCAATTGGGCTGACCCATCCTCATGACCTTCCAGAACCTGCCACTCAGATCTGTCCCTCCAAGTAACAATGGCCTTTCCTGTTTTCCCTGAACCATCAGTGAAGACAGTGGGTCCTTGCACGGGTTCCTGACTATTTTTGGGCCGCAAAGAGATTTGTGTGAATTTTGCCATATGCAGTAGCCTATGGCTGGGCAGATGATAAATGATCCGCCCTGAAAAGTTTTCCAGAGCACTCTGCAGGGACACACTGTTTGCAAAGCTCCAGTCAAAATCCTCCCGTTGCACCGGGAGTATGATCTTTGCAGGATCCGCACCCATCAATTGCAAACACCGTTGCCGGCATTTGATTATCAAGTGAGCAATTAGCTCAAACAATGCAGTTGCCATCTTCTGCAGCTGATGGGGCAGGAAACCCCATTCCAAGATGTGCAAGGAATTGGACCATTTGTCACTCCATTGGCCAATGATGCCTGTGGGATGCGAATCATGAGTGGTGATGAACACTGTGACATCAACGGAGGGATCAATGCGATAAACTTGGCAAGCTGAAACAGCTCACTGAACCACCTCCAGTGCCTTACGTGCCTCAGGGGTCAATGTGCAAGGCGACTTTAG